AGGCTGTAGACCCAGGACTGTGTGTGTCTGTCTGTGTGTGTGTGTGTGCCTGTCTGTGTGTGTGTGTGTGTGTGTGTGTGTGTGTCTGTCTGTGTGTGTGTGTATGTCTGTGTGTCTGTTTGTGTGTGTGTGCGTGTGTGTGTGCCTGTGTGCACTTGTTTTCAACTCCTGGTGGGTTCCATAACCTGAGATTCCGCTCACGTCATGGGGACTGGTTTTACGTGGTGGGGCCCGAACACCGGACCCCACTGGTCCAAGCTTAATAATCAATGGGTAATGCTTTTCTAACGGTCCTTATGCAGTCTCTGTAAAAATATGGAAAGGACCCCTGGAGGTTTACTTTCCTGAAAAAAGTGTGTTATGTGTCGGAACCCTGGTGGTGGGTTGCGGGATATCAAGGAGGGGCACACTGGGGCAATTTCAGTCCAGCAGGCTGGAGCCAATCATGGAGCAGCACAACAGAGGAAATCAGGTGTCAGGCTAGAAAAAGGTGCAAGTGTGTGGTTCATTAGGCTGCAAGAAATCATGGAGGAGCACACTGAAGCGCACGCTTACAACCCACTGGTAAGTGCTGACTACAAGTCATGACTTCAAATTGTTATATAGAATTATTACAAATTATTTGTTGTTTGTGCAGCTTAGTCAAGAGTCCCTAATTGATGAAGTCGACTCAGATTCTGACGATTTAACTGTCAAGAAGAAACCTGTAAAAAAGTATGGAAAAAGAAAAATCAAAAACACTTTTCTTCAAGACTCGGAAAGTGACGAACCAAAGGCAAATAAGATTGTTATCATGCAGCTGCAAAAGAAGAAAAATGGGGGGCGAGTTTACAGCAAGAGACACTTCTGCCTCTACTGTTCAATGTCCTGCCACAAAATGTCCCGTCATTTGACTAGAAAACATGGAAATGAAAGTGACGTAGCCAGAGCATTGGCTCTACCTGTGAAATCTAAAGCACGTAAACTTCAGTTTGATTTGATCAGGAATAGTGGAAACCGTGAGCACAATTTTGAGGTTTTAAAGGCCGGCATTGGAACTTTAGTCCCAGCTAAACAGCCAAATTCCCCAGTTAAATCCAGTGAGTTTTTGCACTGTATAGACTGTGGGGCATTGCTTAAGCGAAAGTCGCTGTGGAGGCATGTGGCCAGGTGCCGGCTTTCACAGAAAGATGCCCAGGCTAAACCAGGTAGAAGTAGGGTCCAGTCCCTCTGCTCCCTAGCCCAGCCTGTACCGGAGGGCATCAGCAAAAAGCTGTGGTCTTTAATTTCGGCAATGCATCAGGATGAGGTCACGGGTGTTGTCAAAGCAGAAAAGGGGATTCTGAGACTCGGAGAGCACCTGTACTTAAAACACGGGCATGATAAGACTAAGCATGATTACATTAGGCAGAAAATGAGAGAAGTCGGTAGGTTAATTAACGAAGCAAAAACCGCAGGGAAACTGAAAACAATTAAGGATTTCTTTATTCCTTCCAACTTTAACCATGTGATTGATGCAGTCAGGTCTGTGGCTGGATATGATGAGGAAACAAATCAATACAAGACTCCATCCTTGGCCCTCAAACTCGGCCATAGCCTCAGAAAGCTAGCAGATATTCTTGAATGTGACTCAAAAATGGAGCATTGTGTTGATGAACTATTTATTAAAAACCTCCAACGAAGCCGGCTGCTTTTTGAGAAGAGGTGGGACGTCTGTGTTTCTTCTGCTGCCCTACAGACCCTCCGGCAAGCCAAGTGGAACACTCCGGACCTGCTCCCTCTGACTGAGGACGTTAGAGCCATGCATGCACATATTGAGGTATGTCGACCTGAATATGTGCAAACCCTAATAAGTGAGCCAACGTCTAAGCATTGGTCTAAACTGGCAGTTTTGACTCTTTGTGAGGTCATCATTTTCAATCGAAGAAGGGAAGGTGAGGTTTCAAAGATGCCACTGACAGCCTTTACCTTAAGAAGTAAGACTGGGATCCATTCTGACATTGCTCTGGGACTGTCCCAACTTGAGAAAAAGCTGTGTCAGCATTTTCAACGCATTGAAATTAAAGGGAAAAGAAGTCGGAAAGTGCCGGTTCTTTTGACTCCTGAAATGATTGCTTCGATGGAGGTGCTGGTGGAGAACAGAAGGGCCTGTTCCATCTCTGACCATAACCCATACTTCTTTTCCCGCCCGGGCGCAGACACCCACATCAGGGGATCAGACTCCCTACGCCAGGTAGCCAAAGAATGTGGTGCGGTGCATCCAGAGATGCTATCCTCAACCAAACTTAGAAAGCACATAGCTACTATGTCTACAGTTCTCAATATGAAAGAGAATGAGATGGACATACTTGCCAACTTCCTCGGCCATGACATTCGCATCCACAGGCAATATTACAGACTACCAGAGGGGACACTGGAGCTGGCCAAAATCAGCAAAGTGTTGATGGCCATGGAGCAGGGAAGAGTGACGGAATTCGAAGGAAAGAGCCTCGACCAGATACAAATTGAGCCTGAAGGTAATTCTTGATATTATTAAAATATGTATGATTTTTTTCCCCTAAAGGCCACTTGTATTTTTATTTTCTGTGCGACAGGGAGAGCAGTAGAGATCCTCTCACAAACGGACGGGCTAAAAGAAACTTCAAGCGGAGAACCTTCAACCATTCATCCAGATGCACCCCATGGTAGTGGCAGTGCCCCTTCTGGTAAGTGTACCAGGTGGGGGATTACAGCCAGGCTGCTTGGTCCTCACCCTGGGAGTGTATATTGCTAATATATTTTTATTTCTCTCCCTAGAACGTGTAAGAAAGCCATGGTCTGCATCTGAGGTGAAGGCTGTGGAGAAGACCATGACGCCTTTCATACAGACTGGAAAGGTCCTGGGAAGTCTCACTGCCTGGCCTGCATTAATGCCTCACCAGATGACCTTAGACATCGGACATGGAGTGGCATTAAATTCTATGTCAAAAATAGAATCACTGCAATTCGAAAACAAAATCTAAAATAAAATTCCTTTAAAATAGTTGTTTGGTTTCTATTGACTGTTTTGTATTACTTAAAGTCTTGGTAAAAAAAGATTATGTCTATGGGTCCCATTCTGAACGGCCCTGTCAAAGGGACCCACCAGGTAACAAAAACGTGTATGTGTGTGTGTGCGTGTGTGTGTGTGCCTGTGTGTGTGTGTGTGTGTGTGTGTGTGTGTGTGTGTGTCTGTGTGTGTGTGTATGTCTGTGTGTCTGTTTGTGTGTGTGTGTGTGTGTGTGTGTAGTTGACATGAACAGAACATCAGCCAAAAGGGGTCAAAGGATTCTAATCGGCCCTGACAGTAATATGAGGGCTGATGTGAAGAGACTGTGTGTGTGTGTGTGTGTGTGTGTGTGTGCGTCTACATGTGTGTGTGTGTGTGCGTCTACATGTGTGTGTGTAACCTGCTGACACACACTGTCCAGTCTGCCTCAGGGCAGCTGTGGCACTGCGGTCACAGAGAGATAGATAGGTCTGAAAGTTTTGGACCCTCTGCTCAACACCGTTAAATAATGACCACACGAGGAACAGTCTGCACTGTGGCCCTGAGTCTGTCAAACCTGTATGTGTGAGGAGGTCCTCTCTGCTCCTCCTGCAGGAGGAGGTCCTCTCTGGTTCTCCTGCAGGAGGTGTCCTGACCTGGCTTATGGTGCTTTCAGACCGGATCATGCGTTGCGTCGGCTTTCAATGCAAAGTTAATGGTGACGCGCGTTCGAGCGTCAAAACACACGAACGTCTCGGGACGCACAAATGGACTGCGCGGGAAAGTCAAAGGGGAAGAGCAGGAGCGGAAAATCGACGCCCACAGGAGATAAACTTTGCTCAACCTTGGGACGCTCGTGCAGCGACCAATCAGAGAGCCACAAAGTGGTCACAGGGACATTAGGGGTCTGAGCGAGCAGACTGAACATACTGTAAACAGCCAAAACAGGAGCTACATCAGAACTAAACCAGGGTTGCCAATGGGGGACATAGTGGTTGGTTGTTAACATGTGAGTTTCCATGGTCCCGTGACTTTATGCAACTGCTTTGAGTGTGTTCGCCAATGCGGAAGTACCATTTAATAATAAAATAAACTTATTGCGCACAGTCTCTGGAAGGTCTCTGAACAGACACGCTGCAAAGCTGCTATATTGGAGAAGATCTTTACACGAGAAGCCGCTAGCTAAACTCTGTTAGCATCAGAGCTGGCCGGCTACTTCCGCCACTTCCGGTGCTGGTCAGGATGTTCTGTTGTGAAGACCCCTGCGTCTGAAAACTGGAGAATGTGCGTTTGGTGAGCGAGGCTTCAGCGCTTGAGCGTTTGCGGTCTGAAAGCACCAATAGACCTGGTTTAGACCTCGTTCAGTTTCTGACTCGTTCACACAAACATGTGAACGAGTCTGATTTATTATTTTTGTATTTTAAAAGTCAGTTACCTCAGCTTTAAAACCCTCTGCTCATGGTCTCAGGACCTGGTCTCACTTCTGGTCTCACCTCTGGTCTTACCTCTGGTCTTACTGGTCTCACCTCTGGTCTTACCTCTGGTCTTACTGGTCTCACCTCTGGTCTTACCTCTGGTCTCACCTCTGGTCTTACCTCTTGTCTTACTGGTCTCACCTCTGGTCTTACTGGTCTCACCTCTGGTCTTACCTCTGGTCTTACTGGTCTCACCTCTGGTCTTACCTCTGGTCTCACCTCTGGTCTTACCTCTTGTCTTACTGGTCTCACCTCTGGTCTTACTGGTCTCACCTCTGGTCTTACCTCTGGTCTCACCTCTGGTCTTACCTCTTGTCTTACTGGTCTCACCTCTGGTCTTACTGGTCTTACTGGTCTTAGCTCTGGTCTTACTGATCTTACCTCTGGTCTTACCTCTTGTCTCACCTCTGGTCTTGCCTCTGGTCTTACCTCTGGTCTTACAGGTCTTACCTCTGGTCTTACCTCTGGTCTTTCTGGTGTTGTTCCAGGTTGTGGTGTGGACTGGTCTGGGCTGAGTAAAGATGGCGTCTGCCGGAGCCATGGCTGCCCTGCTCCATGTCTGTGCTCTGCTGCTGTTGGCCTGCCCCATGGCTCAGGGCTCAGAGAACTGCTCAGCCTCTGGCGACCCCTGTCAGGAGGGTGAGACCCCTGTCCCCCCTGTCTCCCCCTGTCTCCCTCCTGTCTCCCTCCTGTCTCCCCCTGTCTCCCCCTGTCTCCCTCCTGTCTCCCCCTGTCTCCCTCCTGTCTCCCTCCTGTCTCCCCCTGTCTCCCTCCTGTCTCCCTCCTGTCTCCCCCTGTCTCCCTCCTGTCTCCCTCCTGTCTCCCTCCTGTCTCCCCCTGTCTCCCTCCTGTCTCCCCCCTGTCTCCCCCTGTTTCCTCCCTGTCCCCCCTGCCTCCCACTGACCTCACATCAGATCATTCAAAGCATTAAAACTGATGTGTATTATTATGAAAGTATAAACTATAAAAATGTTTTGGCCAAAATGTCTCTCTCTGGTCTCTCCAGTGGGGGCGGGTCCCGGCTCAGAAGTGGCCAAAATGACGTGCGCTGACATGCTTGCAATACCACCCCGGGCCGATGGGGGTGGACCCGGAATAAGAATTAACATATAGCATCTTCTTACCTCTCGAAAACGTCTTTACAGGATGGACCAAAAGTTGGCTCTTGGCCCAAAGCTCCGTTCCACATGTGTGTCAATGCTGAGGGGAGTGAATTTCTTTGGACCACTCTAGTTTAGTTGTTGTGAATTTTTTGAAGGCACTCATTAAATGAATGGAGCTTGCGCCGGCTGACGCATGCGCAGATGCGTTTGTTTTAAACGTTTTTTTGTGGGCGGGACCACTCGCGGCCGTTTTGGATTGTTCCAGTAGAGCACAATTTTTGTCCCATTTGTTTGAACGGCGGAGATAGGCGTGACTCTGTCCGTTAATATTTACAGTCCATGGGTCTCTCTCTGGTCTCTCTCTGGTCTCTCTCTGGTCTCTCTCAGGTCTCTTTCTGTTCTCCCTCTGGTCTCTCTTGCTGGTCTCTCTCTGGTCTCTCTCTGGTCTCTCTCTGGTCTCTCCCTGATCTCTCTCTGGTCTCTCTCTGGTCTCTCTCCGGTCTCTCTCTGGTATCTCCTGGTCTCTTTGGTCTCCCTCTGGTCTGGTCTCTCTCTGATCTCTCTCTGGTCTCTCTCTCGGATCTCACTCTGGTCTCTCCTGTTCTCTTTGGTCTCCCTCTGGTCTGGTCTCTCTCTGGTCTCTCTCCGGTCTCTCTCTGGTCTCCCTCTGGCCTGGTCTCACCTGGTCTCTCTGGTCCCAGGTGTGGTCCTGCCCGTGTGGAACCCTCTGGATCCTTCTGTCGGGGACAAAGTAGCTCGAGCCATAGTTTACTTTGTGGCTCTGATTTACATGTTCCTCGGGATGAGCATCATCGCAGACCGCTTCATGTCCTCTATAGAGGTGAGGCCAGACCAGACCAGACCAGGCCAGACCAGACCAGACTGCTTCATGTCCTCTATAGAGGTGAGGCCAGACCAGACCAGACCAGGCCAGACCAGGCCAGACCAGACCAGACCGCTTCATGTCCTCTATAGAGGTGAGGCCAGACCAGACCAGACCAGGCCAGACCAGACCAGACCAGACCAGACCGCTTCATGTCCTCTATACTGTAGATGTGAGACCAGGCCAGACCAGACCAAACCAGACCCCTTCATGTCCTCTATAGAGGTGAGACCAGACCAGACCAGGAGAGACCAGACCAGACCAGAGCAGACCAGACCAGGTGAGAGCAGAGTGTGTGTGCAGGTGATCACGTCTCAGGAGAAGGAGGTCACGATAAAGAAACCAAACGGAGAAACCAGCACCGCCACCGTCAGGATCTGGAACGAGACCGTCTCAAACTTGACCCTGATGGCCCTGGGCTCCAGCGCACCTGAGATACTGCTGTCTGTCATCGAGGTGAGCACAGGGACTGAGATACTGCTGTCTGTCATCGAGGTGAGCACAGGGACCAAGCACAGGGATACTGCTGTCTGTCATCGAGGTGAGCACAGGGACTGAGATACTGCTGTCTGTCATCGAGGTGAGCACAGGGACTGAGCACAGGGACTGAGATACTGCTGTCTGTCATCGAGGTGAGCACAGGGACTGAAATACTGCTGTCTGTCATCGAGGTGAGCACAGGGACTGAGATACTGCTGTCTGTCATCGAGGTGAGTACAGGGACTGAGCACAGGGACTGAGATACTGCTGTCTGTCATCGAGGTGAGTACAGGGACTGAGCACAGGGACTGAGATACTGCTGTCCGTCATCGAGGTGAGCGCAGGGACTGAGCACAGGGACTGAGATACTGCTGTCCGTCATCGAGGTGAGCACAGGGACATAGATACACACTCAGAGACACACACTCAGAGACACACACTCAGAGACACACACACAGACACACACAGACACATTGACCAGTGGGGGCGGGTCCCGGCTCAAAAGTGGCCAAAATGACGTGCGCTGACATGCTTGCAATACCACCCCGGGCCGATGGGGGTGGACCCAGAATAAGAATTAGCCAATGCTAACATATAACAGCTTCTTACCTCTTGAAAACACCTTTACAGGAATGTCCAAAAGTTGGCTCTTGGCTCAAAGCTCCGTTCCACATGTGTGTCAATGCTGAGGGGAGTGAATTTTTTTGGACTACTCGAGTTTACTCGCTGTGAAGTTTTGAAGTCACTCGTTTAAATGAATGGGGCTCGTGCAGCTGACGCATGCGCAGATGCTTTTTTTCACATTTTCCAGCCCCCGCGGCCATTTTGTATCACTCCATGAAAGCTCAATTTTTGGCCCATTAGTTAGAACGGCGGAGATAGGCGTGACTACGTCCATAAATATATACATTCTATGACACAGACACGCACACACACGCACACACACACACACACACACACACACACACACACACACACACACACACACAGACAGTAGTATTATTCCTACATCACACAGACCAGAGTCTCTCATCACATTCACACCTCGAAGTGTCTTGCCTCAGGACACAACAACAGCTGCACCACACCACAGTCTCCCATCCCGGTCCTGCCCAGGCCCTGCCCTGCTGAGCATCCTGTGTGTGTGTGTTAGGTGTGTGGGCATAACTTCGAGGCGGGCTCTCTGGGGCCCAGCACCATCGTGGGCAGCGCCGCCTTCAACATGTTTGTGATCATCGCGCTGTGTGTGTACGTGGTCCCAGACGGCGAGACCCGCAAGATCAAACACCTTCGCGTCTTCTTCGTCACCGCCGCCTGGAGCATCTTCGCCTACATCTGGCTCTACCTCATCCTCAGCGTCTTCTCACCGGGAGAGGTGGAGGTGAGACACAAGCTATAGCACTCTCGCCTCTCAGCAAGAAGGTCCTGGGTTCGAATCCCGGTCGGACCAGGGCCTTTCTGAGTGGAGTTTGCATGTTCTCCCCGTGTGTGCGTAGGTTTCCTCCGGGTACTCCGGTTTCCCCCACCACTAAAAATATGTACAATAGGTCTGGCATGCGCCTCCTGTACTGGCAACCTCGCTCCCATCTCTGAGTGAGAGGACAAGTGCCCAAAATAACAATTGTAAACCGCTTTGAGACTCTGGTCTGTGAAAGGCGGTATTTAAATAAAGATTACTTACTTACTTACTTACTTACTGTATACGGACGGACAATGCTAACACAGACTGTATACAGATGTTAATGCTAACACAGACTGTATCAGGGCTGGACTGGGACAAAAAAACGGCCCGGGCATTTTTTCCTTTTTAGCGGCCCAGGCAACTCAAAAGGTTCAAGGAGCCATATTTGACAAAAAAACTAAAAACAACATCTGTCTGGAGCCGAAAAAAAAACAAAACTGCATTGTATAAGGCTTATATGAAGGTAACAGGGGCTGGAGCTGTATTAGCTACCTTAGCTATATTAGCCTAATATCTAAATGACAAAGTAAAGGCTACAAACACATAAAAACCATTCATGATTATCAAATGTGTATTATCATTGCAGCGTGTCCTGGAGAGAATGACGCACCACGTGACAACTCTGCTTTAAGTTTAACTTCCATGCAATTTTACAAATACAGTAAATAAATCTGCTTTTTGGCTCCGAGTTCACCTGCATCACTGTCTGTTCATATCCATCACAGGCTGAAGTTTTCTGGAGCTGAATGTCCTTAATGGCCTTTTCTTTCACCGTCTTTGCGAAGGTATTTGAAGTCTGAAAATAGGTGCTCTGACTTTACTGTATGATGAATGAATCTTTCAGTGAACGCTGATATACAACGCTGTTTTGTTTTGAACAGTGAACTTTCATTGTTCCTCCTGTTGCAACAAAACTTTTCATTACATCGCAAACATGAAGCAGTCCTTCCTCATTGGCAGAAAGCAAATGTTCATTCTCATTCTTAGTCCAGTCTTATCGACTCTCTCTCTTTATCTTTGGGATCCATGCGGACACACAGTTAAAATTGAATATTACTTATACAAGTTTTTGCAGCATTGAAAAACGTCAAGAATGTTTTTCCTCCTACAGAAACCACATTCAAACTACAAATAAAATATAGCCTCACACTCCATTTTCAGACATTTTTGAAAAGGCTCCAGGAGCCACTTTAGGGGCACTAAAGGTTGCCGACCCCTGGTTTATACAGTATGTGGAAGCAAATACTGTAGAGGATCAGGATGTCTGCAGTTTCAACAATAAAATACAGTACAATAGTCTACATTAAACAGAGTAATAAACATGTCTCAGAGTGAGGGAGGTGGGCACAGACAATACTATTGTTTGTTACAGGGATCAGAATTGGTAAACATTTCTGAAATGCATATTGTCAGTCGTTAGCTGGCTCTAAATCTGTTTAATCTGTTCACAACATTTTACTTTTGGGCTCAAACATGAACTTTTAATGCAATGGAAAATTTAGGTACCCGAGCTTTAATTTAGAGGAGAGGGGGGACGCGGACTGTTTTCTGCAGCGGTGTATTTATTGGGTGCACAAATTACGCAAAGACACGCATGGTCCTGTGCGCGTTTATGGTCTTGGGTACATGGTCACGTTGCGGCTACGCGCTCACCGTGTTGTGTTGTGAGCGGTTCCCGGTGAGCGGTTCCTGCGTCCAGCTCAGAGCCGCTGGATGCGGGAAACTGACCGCTGAGGTGGTGGAATCCCGTTCGAGTACATACCGCGGACACGCGCGCCCCCTCGAACAATTCTCAACGGATTTACACTTCTCATAAACATGTGTTTTGTATGAGGCAGACAGACCGGCCCAAATATGGGCATCGGCCCTTCGGGCATTGCCCGGTGCGCCCGATGGCCAGTCCAGCCCTGGACTGTATACAGATGGACAATGCTAACACAGACTATATACAGATGGACAATGCTAACACAGACTGTATACAGATGGACAATGCTAACACAGACTGTATACAGATGGACAATGCTAACACAGACTGTACACGGATGGACAATGCTAACACAGACTGTATACAGATGCTAATGCTAACGCAGACTGTATTAACATTATGTTCAAATCTACTGCATTAACACTGTGATGTCACACTAATGCCTTTGCCTCTCCTCCCTCTCTCCTCCTCTCCCTCCCTCTCCCTCTCTCTCCCTCCTCCTCTCCATCTCTCCTCCTCCCTCTCTCCCTCAGGTGTGGGAGGCGGTCCTGACTTTCCTCTGGTTCCCGCTCTGTGTGGTCCAGGCCTGGGTAGCCGATCGCCGCCTCCTCATCTATAAATACATGCGTAAGCGTTACCGTGTCGACAAGCACCGCGGCATCATCATTGAGTCTGAGGGCGGAGACATTCTGAGCTCTGGGGGCGGAGCTCTGGGCGGATTCACCAAAACCGACCTTCTGGAGCTGGACGGTCACACTGCACTCAACTGCCACGGTACCGATGGTCTCATGGAGGAGGGCGGGGCCAAAGACGAGGAAGACGAGGCCCGACGAGACATGGCCCGAAACCTGAAGGACCTGAAGCAGAGGCACCCGGACAAGGACATGGAGCAGCTGATCGAGATGGCCAACTACCAGGTGAGGGGCAGGTACCAGGTGAGGGGCAGGTACAAGGTGAGGGGCAGGTACTAGGTGAGGGGCAGGTACTAGGTGAGGGGCTAGTACCAAGTGAGGGGCTAGTTCCAGGTGAGGGGTAGGTACCTGTAGAGGAGCAGGTACCAGGTGAGGGGGAGGGACCAGGACAAACCCAGGACTGAGGCTGTAGACCCTCAGATTGATTGAATGCTTTCACACTGCAGTCAGACGTGCTGTCGCTGGTCTTGAGCCCGGTAAGTCTGTAGTGAGCTTCCTAGTTCCTGCTGTCGCTGGTTCTAGTTCAAACTGGTCCCTGCTCTGTGTTTTCACTCCAACAACATCATAGAACCATAGTTTCATCCAGAAGTTACCTTTGTTTAGAAAAGATGTGGCTCGTGCACATCGCAGTGGTCTCTCTGGTCTCTCTCTGGTCTCTCTGGTCTCTCTCTGGTCTCTCGCTGGTCTCTCGCTGGTCTCTCTCTGGTCTCTCTGGTCTCTCGCTGGTCTCTCTGGTCTCTCTGGTCTCTCTCTGGTCTCTCTCTGGTCTCTCTCTGGTCTCTCTCTGGTCTCTCTTTGGTCTCTCTCTGGTCTCTCTCTCTGGTCTTCCCGTCGTCTCTCTGGTCTCTCTCTGGTCTCCCTCTGGTCTCCCTCTGGTCTCCCTGTATTCTCTCGCTGGTCTCTCTCTGGTCTCCCTCTGGACTCTCTCTGGTCTCTCTCTGGTCTCTCTCTGGTCTCTCTCTGGTCTCTCTCTGGTCTCTCTCTGGTCTCCCTCTGGTCTCGTTGTAGTCCCAGTCCTGAGGTGTTGTGTCCCTCAGGTCCTGATGCAGCAGCAGAAGAGTCGTGCTTTCTACAGGATCCAGGCGACTCGTATGATGATCGGAGCCGGGAACATCCTGAAGAAACACGCAGCGGACCAGGCCCGCAAGGTAAAAGCCCCGCCCCCAAGACTTCGCCCCCCAAGGCCCCGCCCTCGAGGCCCCGCCCCTGAGTCCACTCCCCTGCCACCATACGCCCAAATGTCATGCACTCTGAGGTTACGCCCCCAAGGCCCTACCCCCCATGAGCCCCGCCCCCTAATGCCACGCCCCCCGAATACCACGCTCCCTTAGGCAACGCCCCCTGAGGCCACGCCCCCACTCACACTGTGTGGGGCAGTCCCAGCCCCACAGAGGGCAGTGGAGAACAAGAGTGATGTGATTTAAAGATGAAATTGTTTATTTTTAAACCTGTGTGTGTGTGTGTCTGTGTGTGTGTGTGTGTGTGTGTGTTTGTGTGTGTTGTGTGTGTGTCTGTCTGTGTGTGTGTGTGTGTGTAGGTGGTGAGCAGTCAGGAGACTCAGTTGGAGCAGGACGAGCCTCACGTTGTGCGTCTGGACTTTGATCCCAGTTTGTACCAATGTTTTGAGAATTGTGGTTCTCTCAAACTGACGGTGACCAGGAGTGGAGGAGACCCAGGCGTCAGTGTGAAGGTCAGACACACACGCACAAACACACACAGACACACACACAGCTCTGTAAAGATTCTGCTTTTTTGGCACAAAAACCTTTATTTTTTAGAAAAAAAGATTGACATTTTCTAAACCAAGAAATCATTCTACAGACTAAGAGAGACCAGAGAGGGACCAGAGAGAGACCAGAGAGGGACCAGAGAGAGACCAGAGAGGGACAAGAGAGAGACCAGAGACAGACCAGAGAGAGACCAGAGAGAGACCATAGAGAGACCATAGAGAGACCAGAGAGAGACCAGAGAGAGACCAGAGAGAGACCAGAGAGACCAGAGGGACTAGAGAGACCAGAGCGACCAGAGAGAGACCATAGAGAGACCATAGAGAGACCAGAGAGAGACCAGAGAGAGAGACCAGAGAGAGACCAGAGAGAGACCAGAGAGAGACCAGAGAGAGACCAGAGAGAGAGAGACCAGAGAGAGAGACCAGAGAGAGACCAGAGAGAGACCAGAGAGAGACCAGAGAGAGACCAGAGAGAGACCAGAGAGAGACCAGAGAGAGAGACCAGAGAGAGAGACCAGAGAGAGACCAGAGAGAGACCAGAGAGAGACCAGAGAGAGAGACCATAGAGAGATCAGAGCGACCAGAGAGAGACCAGAGAGAGAGACCAGAGAGAGAGACCAGAGAGAGACCAGAGAGAGACCAGAGTGAGACCAGAGAGAGATCAGCAAGCGAGACCATAGAGAGACCATAGAGAGACCAGAGAGAGATCAGAGTGAGACCAGAGTGAGACCAGAGAGAGATCAGAAAGCGAGACCATAGAGAGACCATAGAGAGACCATAGAGAGACCAGAGTGAGACCAGAGAGAGACCATAGAGAGAGAGAGAGACCCTCATTACACATACCATTGTTCTGGTCTCTGAGGCTGAGGCGGGGTTGTTGTGGTCTTCCCGCAGGTCGATTACCGCACTGAGGACGGCACAGCGAACGCTGGCTCAGATTACGAGTTCGCTGAGGGGACACTGCTGTTCAAACCAGAGGAGACCGTCAAAGGTGAGTCTGCCTCAGCATCGTCCTGGTCCCTCAGTCTGGGGTTAGAGGCCCTAGTGAACAATTCAATTTATTCTTGTATCGCCCTAAATCACAACAATAACAACCAGGACTGAGGCTGTAGACCCAGAGAGTGTGTATCAATGTGTATGTGTGTGTGTGTGTGTGTATAACTGTGTACTGTATGTGTGTGCGTTTATGTGTGTAACTATACTGTATGTGTGTGTGTATATGTGTGTAACTATTCTGTGTGTGTGTGTGTGTGTATATATGTGTAACTATACTGTGTGTGTGTGTGTGTGTGTGTGTGTGTGCGTTTATGTGTGTAACTATTCTGTATGTGTGTGTGTGTGTATATGTGTGTAACTATTCTGTGTGAGTGTGTGTGTGTGTGTATGTGTAACTCTACTGTGTGTGTGTGTGTGTGTGTGTGTATATGTGTGTAACTATACTGTATGTGTGTAACTATACTGTGTGTGTGTACTCCTGCAGAGATTACAGTGGGGGTAATCGATGACGACATCTTTGAAGAAGACGAGTATTTCTACGTGCACCTGAGTAACCCTCGTGTGATTGGCTACCCTGAGATAGGCTCCGCCCCCCTGGATCCTGGAGCCACGCCCACCGCCATTTTAGGAATGAACCCCACGGCAACAGTGACCATCTACGACGATGACCACGCAGGTGAGAGATACCTTTTACACAGCAGTCAATTTGACTGTTCGTTTTGGGAGCGTGTGATGTCCCATTTTCCAACTCAAGTGAGAGTGAATATTCCAGGAGCAGGAGCTCAGATTACAGAAGGTTCTGGGTTCGATTCCAGCTCCAGACTTTTCTGAGTGGAGTTTGCATGTTCTCCCTGTGTCTCTCCAGTTTCCCCTACCACTAAAAACATGTACAACACTCCCCTATAACTCTCCCTCTCTGGGAGAGAGGGAGAGTCTGGGAGACTGAGTGAGTAAAAGTCAATAAATAATAATAATAAAATAAATATAATAATATGAAACAAAGGTTTTAGTTCAGTTTGTGATTGTAACACTGACTCCAAGTTGAAATCAGACTCGTGTCTTTGTGTGTGTATATGTGTGTGTGTGTATGTGTGTGTGTGTGTGTGTGTGTGTGTGTGTATGTGTGTGTGTATTTGTGTGTGTATATGTGTGTATGTCTCAGGTATCTTCACGTTCGAGGGCCCCTCCCAGCGTGTCAGTGAGAGTGTGGGGGTGATGCAGGTGAAGGTGCTGAGGACCTCAGGGGCCCGGGGCCTCGTTGCGGTCCCCTACAGGACTCTGGACGGGACTGCGAAAGGAGGAGAGGACTACGAGCTCGCAGTTGGGAAGCTGGAGTTCCACAACGATGAGACCATGTGAGTCCCCCCTCTCTCTGGTCTCTCTCTCTGGTCTCTCTGGTCTCTCTCTGGTCTCTCTCTGGTCTCTCTCTCTGGTCTCTCTCTGGTCTCTGTGTGGTTTGGAAACATCACAGATAAAGAAAAGAGAGCTTTAAACAAGGTGCTCCGCTCTGCAAAGAGGACTGTGAGCTGTGAGCTTCCTGTTCTGGAGGTTCTTTATAAATCCAGACTTTTAAACAAAGCTCTTAGGATTGTTAATGACTCTTCTGGCCACCCTGGGAAAGCCATGTTCCAGCTTCTTCCCTCTGGCAGAAGATATCGTTCTCTGAGATGCAGGACATCTCGTTACGCTAACAGTTTTTATCCACAAGCTGTTATCAGTGTGAACAGAGCACTTTAATGATTTGCACTTGTTTTGAAACTGTTTTAGTCGATCGATTTCACAGGGACATTTGTTTACTGCTTTATTTGTTTTATTTTTGTCTTTTAATGTTGTTTTATGTCTGTATTTGTCTGTGCACACTGGTGACTTTTGCTAATGTATTCCAATGTGGTTTTACTGCAAATGGCAAATAAACTGAATCTGAATCTGAATCTGAATCTCTCTCTGGTCTCTCTCTGGTCTCTCTCTGGTCTCTCTCTCGGGTCCCTCTCTCTGATCTCTCTCTGGTCTCTCTCTCTGGTCTCTCTCTGGTCTCTCTCTGGTCTCTCTCTGGTCTCTCTCTCGGGTTTCTCTCTCTGGTCTCTCTCTGGTCTCTCTCTCTGGTCTCTCTCTGGTCTCTCTCTGGTCTCTCTCTCTGGTCTCTCTCTCTGGTCTCTCTCTCTGGTCTCTCTCTGGTCTCTCTCTCGGGTCTCTCTCTCTGGTCTCTCTCTGGTCTCTCTCTCTGGTCTTTCTCTGGTCTCTCTCTGGTCTCTCTCTGGTCTCTCTCTGGTCTCTCTCTGGTCTCTCTCTCTGGTCTCTCTCTCTGGTCTCTCTCTGGTCTTTCTCTGGTCTCTCTCTGTTCTCTCTCTGGTCTCTCTCTCTGGTCTCTCTCTGGTCTCTCTCTGGTCTCTTTCCGCTGACAACACTAAAAGCTCTTCCCCTGAGGCCGCTCAAACTCTTTTAGTCACAACAAAAGACATATTTATATCATAGAGACACACACACACACACACACACACACACAGAGATACACACACTTTGGTGTAGTCTATATTTTTGAGTGTTTTTTTAAGTCCAGTTTGTGTTGGACTCTTGCACTGTGAACAGTGTGAACAGAGCACTTTAATGATTTGCACTTGTTTTGAAACTGTTTTAGTCGATCGATTTCACAGGGACATTTGGGTACTGCTTTATTTGTTTTATTTTTGTCTTTTAATGTTGTTTTATGTCTGTATTTGTCTGTGCACACTGGTGACTTTTGCTAATGTATTCCAATGTGGTTTTACTGCAAATGGCAAATAAACTGAATCTGAATCTGAATCTGAATCTCTCTCTGGTCTCTCTCTGGTCTCTCTCTGGTCTCTCTCTCTGGTCTCTCTCTGGTCTCTCTCTGGTCTCTCTCTCGGGTTTCTCTCTCTGGTCTCTCTCTGGTCTCTCTCTGGTCTCTCTCTGGTCTCTCTCTCTGGTCTCTCTCTGGTCTCTCTCTGGTCTCTCTCTCTGGTCTCTCTCTCTGGTCTCTCTCTCTGGTCTCTCTCTCTGGTCTCTCTGGTCTCTCTCTGGTCTCTCTCTCGGGTCTCTCTCTCTGGTCTCTCTCTGGTCTCTCTCTCTGGTCTTTCTCTGGTCTCTCTCTGGTCTCTCTCTGGTCTCTCTCTGGTCTCTCTCTCTGGTCTCTCTCTCTGGTCTCTCTCTGGTCTTTCTCTGGTCTCTCTCTGTTCTCTCTCTGGTCTCTCTCTCTGGTCTCTCTCTCTGGTCTCTCTCTGGTCTCTCTCTGGTCTCTTTCCGCTGACAACACTAAAAGCTCTTCCCCTGAGGCCGCTCAAACTCTTTTAGTCACAACAAAAGACATATTTATATCATAGAGACACACACACACACACACACACACAGAGATACACACACTTTGGTGTAGTCTATATTTTTGAGTGTTTTTTTAAGTCCAGTTTGTGTTGGACTCTTGAAAGCTGCACATATGCCTCCCCCCCCTCCCTCCCTCCCTCCCCCTCTACCCTCTCTCCCCCTCCTTGCCCATTCCCGTGATTACAGGCTGGCTCAGGGCAGGGCTCAGGGCGTGTCATCAGCCACAGCCAGAGCAGTCTGCCCCAGGGCGAACACACTCCAGTGACCCCAAGCACCCCCCCAACCCCGGACACGCCTCCAGCTCTTGGCCAATCACACGTCAGCTTCACTCTATCAGACATCACCAGTTCTACTTTTCTGATTTGTTTTCGCGAGGGTGGATTTCGCACGAGGTCACGGTCTCTGAGCCGGCAGTGTTGTGCCAGTTCACAACTTTTCTGAACTAGTTCAAGTTCAGTTCATACATGCTCAAAGTGAACAGTTCACGTTCAAAGTTCACAATTTTAATTCTGAACTAGTTCAAAGTTCAGTTCATTTTCCTTTTTTTGTGAAATAGTCAAATAAATACTTTTTTTCACACTACGAGCTATAATATGTATATATATATATATAATCTCCTGTAGACCCACAGGAGGAGAGCCTTTTGACTACAAAACAGACTAGATTTACATGGTTTTCAATGGGAGCAAAACGGAGTTGCTCCATCTCTGCTCATAAACTACAGACAGTAATGCGCTGCAGTGCGTGTGTCTATACTTTATGTCAAGTGTAAACGGTGTAAACTTTGTCGCTAACTCACCCTGTGTTTTCATCACGAGTCGGGCACATGTGAAAAGCACCAGCTCACAGCACCTCACCTCAACACGGAGTCGGGGTGCGTTCACAGACGATGGAAACCGTAGGAATTTTTAGATTTCGGCGGAAAAAGTGCGAGAATACAGGAGGGAGGAACTTTCGTTGCGTTTCAAAAGAGAAAACAGATTCCAACGTTCATAGTGATGTCTGCCGTTCATGACACATAAAATGAACTAATTCACGTTCAAGTTCTTTTTTTAAAAATGTGTTGCGTTCAGTTCAATGTTCACAAAAAAATGAGCGTGTTCAATGAAGGCGTTCTTTTGAACTCGTTCATGCACAACACTGTGTGCCGGATACATGTGACCTGGACTGAGGCTGTAGACCTAGGCCTCAGGCTGTAGACCCAGGACTGAGGCTGTAGACCCAGGAGACCCAGAGACCTTGTTGGAGTGTGTCCCCCACTGATCTAATCACCTGCTGCTTCTGTCTCGCACTCATGGTTTCACCTCAGAAAACACCTTAATCACAGCATGTGTGTTCGTGTATGAGTGTGTGTGTGTGTGTGTGTGCACTTGTTTTCAACTCCTGGTGGGGTCCATAACCTGAGATTCCACTCACGTCATGGGGACTGGTTTTACGTTGTGGGGCCCGAACACCGGACCCCACTGGTCCAAGCTTAATAATCAATGGGTAATGCTTTTCTAACGGTCCTTATGCAGTCTCTGTAAAAATATGGAAAGGACCCCTGGAGGTTTACTTTCCTGAAAAAAGTGTGTTATGTGTCTAAACCCTGGTGGTGGGTTGCGGGATATCAAGGAGGGGCACACTGGGGCAATTTCAGTCCGGCAGGCTGGAGCCAATCATGGAGCAGCACAACAGAGGAAATCAGGTGTCAGGCTAGAAAAGGTGCAGGTGTGTGGTTCATTAGGCTGCAAGAAATCATGGAGGAGCACACTGAAGCGCACGTTTACAAACCACTGGTAAGTGCTGACTACAAGTCATGACTTCAAATTGTTATATAGAATTATTACAAATTATTTGTTGTTTGTGCAGCTTAGTCAAGAGTCCCTAATTGATGAAGTCGACTCAGATTCTGACAATTTAACTGTCAAGAAGAAACCTGTAAAAAAGTATGGAAAAAAAAATCAAAAATACTTTTCTTCAAGACTCGGAAAGTGACGAACCAAAGTCAAATAAGATTGTTATCATGCAGCTGCAAAAGAAGAAAATTGGGGGGAGAATTTACAGCAAGAGACACTTCTGCCTCTACTGTTCAATGTCCTGCCACAAAATGTCCCGTCATTTGTCTAGAAAACATGGAAATGAAAGTGACGTAGCCAGAGCATTGGCTCTACCTGTGAAATCTAAAGCACGTAAACTTCAGTTTGATTTGATCAGGAATAGTGGAAACTGTGAGCACAGTTTTGAGGTTTTAAAGGCCGGCATTGGAACTTTAGTCCCAGCTAAACAGCCAAATTCCCCAGTTAAATCCAGTGAGTTTTTGCACTGTATAGACTGTGGGGCATTGCTTAAGCGAAAGTCGCTGTGGAGGCATGTGGCCAGGTGCCGGCTTTCACAGAAAGATGCCCAGGCTAAACCAGGTAGAAGTAGGGTCCAGTCCCTCTGCTCCCTAGCCCAGCCTGTACCGGAGGGCATCAGCAAAAAGCTGTAGCCTTTAATTTTGGCAATGCATCAGGATGAGGTCACGGGTGTTGTCAAAGCAGAAAAGGGGATTCTGAGACTCGGAGAGCACCTGTACTTAAAACATGGGCATGATAAGACTAAGCATGATTACATTAGGCAGAAAATGAGAGAAGTCGGTAGGTTAATTAACGAAGCAAAAACGGCAGGGAAACTGAAAACAATTAAGGATTTCTTTATTCCTTCCAACTTTAACCATGTGATTGATGCAGTCAGGTCTGTGGCTGGATATGATGAGGAAACAAATCAATACAAGACTCCATCCTTGGCCCTCAAACTCGGCCATAGCCTCAGAAAGCTAGCAGATATTCTTGAATGTGACTCAAAAATGGAGCATTGTGTTGATTCACTGTTTATAAAAAACCTCCAACGAAGCCGGCTGCTTTTTGAGAAGAGGTGGGACGTCTGTGTTTCTTCTGCTGCCCTACAGACCCTCCGGCAAGCCAAGTGGAACACTCCGGACCTGCTCCCTCTGACTGAGGACGTTAGAGCCATGCATGCACATATTGAGGTATGTCGA